GTGGGGTTAATAATTCGAAGAGAACCCTGGGGAAGACTGTTAGCACCTTCTTCAAGCCCTGCGATTGGAGACAGAACCCCTTCGCTCAAGCCACCTTGGAACCGCTTGAAGAACATGCTTCAGCATCACTTGGGTTTGTACTACCCTAAGGCTCCAAAGAGGGTCTTGGGCTTTCTGGGGGAGGGCTTCGGCTTTGTGGCTAGGGTCCGGGATCTGATTCAAGGGTCCAGGAGCCTTAAGGTATACGAATATTAATCGAAAAAGCACCCTAACAGCTAGCCTAACAGCACTGAATGTAGAGACTTGCCTGCAGCTTTCAAACCTACTTTTTGTGTAGGGCCGCTTCTTCAACTTGCAGAATTCTTAAGGCTTATAGCAAGAACCTGCCAGAAAAATATGCTTTTGCAGGCTAAGGTTTAGGGCTTGGGTCAGGAAAAATATACTACAAAAAGAAAGGCATCCTATTTTGAGAACTGCCCAAACAGAAACCTACAGCCCCCGGCCTCACAGGCCCCCAGCGCTGTGTTGCCCGTGACACAATCCGCTTGGAGCTGCTTCCGAGACACCGAACAAAGCCTCGACACGCCGGGGGTCTGCCGGCTCAAAGGGGAAAAGGAGGGACCCTTAATGGGGACCCCTGGGTCCCTATAATGGGCTATATAATGGGTATATAATAGCTATATTAAGGGTATATACCTAGGGGTCCTTATTAAGGGTCCCTCCTTTTACCCTTGGATGGGCCCAATTTAGGAAGATAATTATCATAATTGCTTGTACTATTTTGGGTGGGTTCGTCTACCGGGTTCCTTAAAGGGGCCTGTAAGGGATCTATAAGGGTACTAATTACCATGCATGATATTAAGGATGCTGCCATAGAGTTCCAGGTACATTACCTTAAAGGAGGGGTTTTGCAAGATCTGGTACCATAAATCATATTAAGGATCCTACCATAGAGTTGCAGGTACATGACCTTAACAGTGGGATTTTGGAAGATCTGGGTTCATGCGGGTGGTTGTCAAAATTAAGGTCCCTTTTCAGGTACCCTAAATATTAGCTGCCGTATCATAATAAGGACCCAAAAAGGGACCATAATTTTGACAACCACACACACATTGTGAGTCTTAAGCCCTAAACCCTAAACCCTAAACCCATGTTAATTATAACTCTATCAAAACCCTAAACCCTAAACCACCCATGAGAATCTTCAGCAGCACCGGCGTTAGCGGGGTCAGGTCGTGAGACGATAGCGCTTCAAGAGCTCGATCCCAAAATGGGGCCTAGGGTTGATGATGAAAACCCTGCATTACCCATAATAAGGAATATACCGTATACCATAATTCCTATAGTTTAGGGTCCTTAAGGTAATGCAGGATTTATCTCATCAACCGTAGGACTGAACTGAGATCCAAATGATGTCCTAATCTTTATAGATAGATGTCTGCAAAATCAGATTATTAGAAATGTAGGTTCTTGATGTGTATACCTTTCTATCTGTCTATCTATACATCTACATCTACATATACACATACATATATGGGTGGTTGTCAAAATTATGGTCCCGTTTTGGGTCCCTATTATAATTGCGATTCTTGAGTGCGCCACGGGATGGCATGCCCTGAACCCTAAACTACTTGCACATAGCTCTTCCGAACACGCAACCCACCCTAACAGCTTTGAACCCTTACCCTAAGGCTCAAAATAGCCCAAAAGCCTTATATAGTATGGTCTTTGGGCCCAAAGCATTAGAATATGAGTCCTTAGAGCCTAAGGGTTAAACTCTTGAGCCCTAAACCCCTAAATCCTAAACCCTAAACCCGCGCGGCGGCCTGCAATCCCGAAAAACATAAACTTGAACCGATACAGACACGACCAATAAATCCCCAAACCGTGACTGACCCAAAGGGTCCACGTATCATTCTGGTATATACTTATAGAGCATTTTGGGGGTCTAAGTATACACCATGATGATACTTGGACCCTTTGGGACGACCAATAAATCCCCAAACCGTGACTCACTGAACTCTGAGCCCTTAAAACCACAGCCCACAACCCTTAGACTCTGAAGCCGTACGCTCTCTCATTCTCTGGAACTAAAACGCTCAAGCCCGGAACCGTGAGGACGTTTAAGCCAGGTCTTTCTGAAGCAGATGGGTTCTCGTAGAGCTCAAGATTTAGAATTGCAGGAAGTTTAGGGCTAGGGCTCGGAGTTGCAAACTGTCGTAGATCATATCCCGTCTAGAAGAGGCAGCCTTGACTTACATCAATAGCAAAAACTACCAACATGGGTAGTTGACAAAAATCGGGTCCCTTTTTGGGAACCCTAAATATGAGGTGCCGTACTATAACAAGGACCCCAAAAGGGACCATAATTTTTGACAACCACCCACATAGCTAGGAGTACTGCCAAAGATGGCGATCAGCGGTAACGGCACGAGCACTATGTACTTTGCAACCCTATGTTTACGTCGTACTCATGCTGCGAAACCCGAAAATCTAAATCACCAAGACATCCTTAGCCGATGCCCAAAACAAACTGCCGCTTGGTGACATCCGACTGGCACTCTGCCAATGCCCTACACGTGCATGGGCATTGGCCGCCTTGGCGATACCAGGAGGAAGGCAATATAATTCGGGGGCTTACATGGCCGTACCTTGATAATGAGAATAGGGCTTGGGGGCCGGGGATATGCTATAACATTAACTAGAGGTGCATAGTAAGGATCGTTCTGGGTGTGAAGCCGCTTTGGGGTACAGCGCCGTGTAGGGTTTACGGCCGAACTAGAACCAGAATGCCACTGAACAAAACCCAAAAAAACACACCATGGAAGCACAGAGCCTAAAAAAAGAAGCCTTAATCATTAGAATAGGGTTGTGGGGCCCATTATACTATACTTATAATAAGGATCCTGCAAAATGGTATAGGTAACTATTAAGGCCCCTATAGTAACCAAGTCTAGCCATCCGAAGTTCGTCACACACTGTGCGACCGGGTGACCCAAGCTTTCCGATAGATCTTTGAGAGCTTCACACATACAGACAGCGGAACAACAGCTGTACGAAGATTTGTCCACAACAGGTGCCATTGTCAAGTGATTCAGGCTCATGAGGTCCAACTGTTCGGCGTCGCATTCGGTTGAGTCACCCCCTCTAGCATCATCGCCGTTCTCTCCATCACCACCATGACGAACCTCGCCATCGTCAGCAACACCAGCAGAAGCAAGTACCACCACCATAATCATCATCAGCACCAACATCATCATCATCATCATCATGTTCACCGGACCATCGTAGCACATGTATCTTCGCCATCGCTAGCACCGCCATCATCTTGGCGCCGTCCAAGCAGCGCTGTTCAGCAGGACCAGGCTGCAACGAAACCCGCTTGCAAAAGAATCTTGCAGCGACACCTGGCAATCCGACTCGTGTAGTGACTGAGGATGTGATGGATGGCCCTGGCCCGTTTAAGATCCGTTATCCAGAAGACCCCCAGCAAAGGCAGTTATCCTGGTCCTTGCGGGCTGAAAATGGGGGGCATATAAACGGTACTTCCAGACGGTTGATGATATAAATCCTGCATTACCCATAAGAAGGAATACAATTACCAGACATCCATAGTCTAGGGTCATTAATTAAGGTAACCTGCAGGACCAAATGACCCTTAAAAGTAGTGGCCCTGTACCCATATATACTATGAATCTCTATATGGTATATGAACCTTAAACCCTTTTAGGGTTCATTTCGTCCTTAAGGAATGCAGGATCTTTTACCATCAACCCTAAACCCTACACATCCCTTAAAAAGAGCCCCTTAAAGCTACCCTTATAGATCCCTTCAAAGAAACGGAAATGCAGGATCTTTTACCACCAACCGTATTCTAGGATACACAGTATCCTAAGAATAAAGAGGCCTCTCTGTTTGGTATTGGGTAACTTTATAAGGAACCTAGGACTACAAAAAGGGAATTAGGGTACTACTGGGCATCCTAGGCCTTCATGGTTGGCCTCGGATGCCAGGTATGGCTTGGGTACGGCCCCCATACAGTAACAGTCTATAATAGGGCTACTATTAAGGGCCTAATATATCTATATTATGAATATTATCCAACTGTTACTGGGTGGGGGCCGTACCCAAGGTATGGCTCATGTTGCCCTACAGGAACGTCTGAAGGGAGTAGGGTTTAGGATTTAGGGGTTTAGGGGTTTAGGGACTAGGGGTTTAGGGTTTAGGGGTTTAGGGTTTAGGGGTTTAGGGTTTTTGGTTTAGGGTTTAGGGTTTAGGGGTTTAGGGTAGGGTTTAGGGTTCAGAGCCCACAAACGAAGCCCTCAAGAAAGCGTTTGTCAAGGAATCCTGAAAGCCCATATGGGTCCTCTACAAAAACTGCACTCCCCCCCCCCACCCTGCTCCCCTCCCTAAAGAGGCCAGTCAAACATTGATTTTTGTCGAAGATCCCTTCGACAGCACTATAAAGGAACCGTCACACATAAAAAAACACACACACACACACACAAGGCTCTGGGCCCGCTCGCACCTCCGCAAGAAACCATTGTCCTGCTTTGCTACCTGGGGTTACAAAGCCAGGCAAAGCATCTGAGTTCAGGTTTGAGGGTTTGGGGTTTAGGGTTTTTTGGGTTTAGGGTTTTGCGGTTTGGGGCTTGGGTGAAAGTTGGGGCTCTACTCTTATGGGGCTGAATTCATTAGAGTTCAAGATGTGGGGTGCAGGATCGTGCGGCGGTTTACGGTGTCGGTGTAAGAGTTAGGGCATGAGGCGAGTCCTCAGTACATCGTGTCCAAGTTGAAGCTTTGTGCATGGGCGAGGCACAATTCTGATTGCGTTGACGGAATGCCTTCGGCTCTGCATAACAAACGGGTCTGGTGCCCAAACGATGCTTCACTCCAGAGGCGCTATCAATGGTCTGCTCTGGCCATGCCTTCGGCATGCCCTTCGTTTTGATTCTCGAGCGTGGCTTATGTACAAACGATGCTCCACTGCATAGGTTACTTTAAACAAACCTAGCAAAACCAGGGGGACAATCCCAGTTCACGCCGCAAGTACGATTGCCCCACTTGTGATGTAGCCTATTCGCTAGCTGCGAAACATGTCCCCCCATTGCGAACTTTACACGTGGGGCTGCGAAGCTCGCTGCTGCCAGAGCTGCTACGCCGGTGTCCGCGATCCTGTAACACCCGTCGAGAGCGAATTCGGTCAACTTTTCGCAGTCCAGAACTGCTGCAGCCAAAGCTTCGGCCCCGGCATCTCCGATGATGTCACTTTGTATGCCAAGTTTGGACAACTCCTTGCAGCTGATGGCTGCCGTGGCAAGAGCTGCAGCATCGGCATCCGTAATCCCATCCCCCATCACCTGCAAGACCCGCAACTTCTGGGGACAAAGACGTTCAAGGCCATGTGCTAACTCCAGAATGCTATGCCCGAAGTCTTCTTCATCGGATGAAATGGTAAGCAGTTCCAGGTTCACGAAATGTGGCAGTGCAGCCGCCAAAATCGACACCTCGCACTGGGGCAAGGACATTGCATCAAGTCTTTTGCGTTGCCTGGCATGCTGTAGGAAGACATCCTCCTGCAGGCGACTTACCAACTTTGCATCAGAGCGGTGTGTAAATTTCAGGCGCAACCCATTTGCAAGTCCCTGCTCGCCACGCGCCACCCGCTCCTGAAAAACTGCTGGCGGCATGGGAGAGCAGCCAAACACCTCGTCTTTCGTGCTCATCCACTGAACTTCAGCAACACACCACCCCCTTTCGGAGTAAGGCGTGCTGTTCAGGACCAAGTCGCTTAGAGGCCTTGCTTCAAACTTTCCAGTCGCCTCACAGTACATGTCTATAGAACCCTCGAGTGACTTCTCGCTCTCCGGGGTCAGCTCCTCCAAGCGAATCACGTGACCGATGTGCCGATGGGCATACAGCAAATGCATGGACCTCATTGCTCTCCCGAAGAACTGCTGTTCCTCTTCGCTGCGCTTGTACTGATGCAGGCACACGAAATCAATGAATACCCAGTAGTGAACACGAACGTGTTCTGCAAAGAACTTGAGCTTTTCACGAGACCCAAAATTGCCTGAGTTGTCCTTTAAGCCCTTTGAAAATTATTGACTCTTATGGTTCTCTACAAAGTAGTAAGGGAAATTAAAAAAGATCCCAAAGGACAACCCAGTTGCTTTCAACAAACCCCAAGAGACTTCGCAGCTGCCATCCCCATGGGTCGGGATGCTGCTGAGACTCCCACACATGCGACACAGATAATATCGCCGGGTTAACCTATACTGAACTTAGAACCCTGGCAAAAACTATAATGTTCAGCTGTTTCTTAGGGATTATAATAACCAAAAATTACAAAGTATTTCTAAGTACCCCTAAGTAACCTCAAAACGGGCTATTTTGGGATCCTGCAGTTCCTCCATCGTCACCAATGCCGTGCGCATCGTGCCATCTTCATCCTCGAACTCTTCGCCCTCTGCCTCCTGGCGCCGTGGCCAGATACGACCACAATCCGCAAGCTTGAAGAGATATTCCAAACGCACCGGTCGGATGTTGGCCTCCACCAAGAAGTTCTGGAGATGATTCCGGTCCGTCAAGCTGTACTCTGCTTCCTCATGCGCTGCAGCCGTTTCGCCCTGTGCTTGGATGGAAGACCTCACAAGGCCATGAGTCAGGCTCTCAACGTAGGATCTTGCTATCTCTGACACTGCTTCTTTACCCAGCTCCGTTGCATCCTCGTTTTGAGAACGCGCTTGCTGCAGAGAACTCCACTCCATGGCACCGCAGCGCTGCCACTGCACTAGGAGTTGATGGGCTCGGATTGTAATCTGCAGACGAGAACATGCACAGCACTTGTGGTTCAGTTGGAAGGCTCTTCTTAACCTCCCCTGCCAGCCGGCCTTACACCAAACTCCAGCGACCAACCTGCACAGGAAAGTCCAAGATGCCCAGAACTCAAGTAAATATAAACGAGAGATCACTTGCAAATGATTGAAAGCCTGTTGGTTCTTGAACGCCCGGGACCCCGAACCCCCAAACCTGCACCGAAACTCTGCCCTATACCCTCAACCCTGGACCCTGTGCGGCCACGTCCATTTAAGCGAGATTTGCCACGGTGGGCCACGCAGTCTCCGGATGCCAAGCTACGAAACCCTGAGGGTCCATGTACCCAAATAGTATATACTTTGGGTCCAATGTACCCAATGTATATACTATTTAGGTACATGGACCCTTAAACTATAGAACCCTTATAGATCCCTTTTAGATCCCTTATAGAACCCTTATAGAACCCTTATAGCAACCTTTAAAGTACCCTTAAAGGAACCCCTAGTTAGGTACATGGACCCTTAGGGAAAGCTAGGAAGGAGCGGATCGCTTCACAGACGAATACTGCGCAGAATTGAAGGACACGAATCATTAATAGTAGGTTGAAAAGAGTTACTTCAGGGGTTTGTTTTGAAACAGTTCCTTTGAAGGAACACTGAAGTTTTCTAGAAAGTTTAGACTAGAGGAACCCTGAGCCCTGAGCCTTAAAGTACACACAACTGCCTTACTCAGTCCTTTGGCCTTTTGAAGGAAACTCGTCCAGAACTGCTGAATCCTTCTAATTTGGAACCCCAAATTATTATAACCCGCCCGCCCAAGGATCCAAGTACAGAATAACAAGAAGAATCATTGCCATATTAAAAATGACCATGCAGCTCCCCCACATACGAACCTAAAACTACTATCCTAAGCCCAAATACCTGTCCTGGTTTAAGTCCTTGAACAACCCTTCATAAACCTTCAGGATCCCATGCATCCTTTACAAGGCCCATATGGGAGTTTCCGAAAATAGGGGACCCTAATATAGCACCCTAAATAATAGGATCTCATTATATGGAGCCCAAAGCAAGGTCCCCTAATCTTCAGAAACTCCCATGTAAGAACCCTCTAAGGTAAAAGCCAGAAAGTTGGAATATGATTATCCTAACCCTTCTATGGTAAATCATAGGGTATCCTACCATGAAACCATATTCCAACTTTCTGGAGTTCCCTCTAGGGTTCTCAGCTCCTTTGGAGCTTTAGGGCCCCCCTTTTTGCCGGGATGCAAGAGCTCAGCACCGACCCAAGGGTTCGAACGCTGGGCTGGAGGTTTCTGGCCTGCAACAGTTCCGTAAGCTGGGAATTGAAGTAACCAGGGAGAAGAAACAGTTGATGGACAAAATCCTGCACGACCTTAAGGACCCTAAACTATGGGAATTATGGTATATTCCTTGTACGGGGTCATGCAGGATATTGTCCATCCACACAAGTATAAACACTTCTATTTCATAGTTGGTTCCCGTTAAGTAACCGGTCCCAAAAAAGTATTGAAGTATGGTACTCCAAAGCCTAGTAAGGGTCCAGTACCTAATAATCATATACTCTCCCAAGTAGTGACCTACCAAAATACGGACCCTTGGGGGTTGGCATGCTAGATGGCGTAGGGCGTGAAGTAAGGGGTGTAGGGGGTTTGGGGTTTCCCTGAAAGGGCTTACGACGGTTCAGGAGGTTTACTTGGAGGTTCATGGGTACTTACAAGTGGGGTGATAAGTCCCCGCATATGGGTTATAATTATGGTGACCCTACTACTTATAACTCCACTTATAACTACCCATGAACCTCCAAGTAGTGGCTTCGGGATTTCGGAGTTGCGGGGCTTAGCATTTGGGGCTGCGAGGGAACTACTTCGAGTTGGAGACCCCGTGGACTCAACGGTTGAAACCATGGGCCCCTATATTGGGCCCTTTGCCTTGGGATCCCTAAATATCTACTATATACCCTATATAGACTCTTAAGGGTCCCTAGAACTCAAAAAGGCCTAAGGGCCCATATTAGGGGCCTATACTTCTAACCTTAGAATGGACTCATCTGCAAAGGGTCCTATGGACTGTTATGGGGATACCTTCCCAAATGGAAATATGAATTCCTTCTATAAAAACCCTACATTCTACCATATAGGTACTTTGGACCCTTTGCGATCAGGGGTCTGCATTTTGTAGTAGCCCGACGAGTCGAAACTCACATGCGAAGGGTTACATGGGTGCCGTAATTGGGGATATCAGCAGGTACGGGTCTATAGGGTTTAGGGTTTAGGGCCGTAGATGCCGCATTTACATCCCGAGTTACGAGCTCCCGTGGAACTGCGTTAAAACAATGTAGGTAATGATGTAGAGGCCTGATTAGCTCGACTACTTGAAGGCTCATGGGTAAGGCACGACTATAATTACCGGTTACCCTATGTCAACCCCACTTTCCACGACTATAGGCACGAACCGTTAACCAAACCTGGCGCAACAAGGTCCACACATACTGCTTGAAATTCGGAAACCACCAAAACCATTGCTGGGATGGTCTGTTTCACTTAATAAGGGGGCCTAGGCGCTGTTATGGGTGATATTCCCCCAAATCATAATAACTATTCCTGATAAAATAGAAACCTTCCATTCTGCTATGTTATACTTACTTAGGACCCCTTGGGTAAGGGGGACTCTCCGGGGACTTATGCCTAGATCTTAAACAGGGTCACCCCCGCACTGCAGGCCCTTGTATTTGGGGGTGTATGTTGTCATGTTTGCTTGTCGATCTCCCTCACTCCCTCTCTCTCTCTCTCTCTCTCTCTCTCTCTCTTCCAAAGTTGGAAGTATGGGCCCCGAATATGGACCCTCAGGCCTTTTTCAGGGGGTTTACTACGTGTATAAGGACCCCAAGGTTAAGGGCCCACACTAGGGGCCCAGGGTTTCAACCATTGAGTTTTGGGCCTGCAGTGATTCTTTGAGAGCAGCAGCTCTTTGCCAGCACCCGCTTTTCTCGAGGGCACTGAGGGTGGCGTTGTAAGTGATGACCTGGGCAAGGTTCACTGCTTAGGATTCTTGAGATTTCGGGCTTGTTTCACGGTTTCTCGGCTTCTTTATTGCTTAAGGGTTCCAACAGCGGTTCCTCGGGTCCTGGGATTTACGGGTTTGGGGTTTAATTGGGACTCGAGGGCTTCTGCTGCCTTTTTTCGGGTTTATTGAAGGTTTCGGAGTTTGCGGCTTGGCTAGGGTGTGGGGTGGTTCCCCACGGGCGACAAGAACCTTGACAAGGGCCGTGTATTGTCGCACCTTGGTGGCGACTGCCGTCTTGGCATAGCCCCATAGCGCCACAATCCCAAGCTAGGATGCCCAGTAACCTAAGAATAAAAAGTGCTCCCTGTTTGGTACTGGGTAACTTAATAAGAAACCTAGGACTACAAAAAGGGAATAAGGGTCCTACTGGGCATCCTAGGAAGGAGTCAGAATTCGAAGGCCACTGCAGACACAAAAGCCCGAAGACGAATACGCTGGAAGAGTCTTAATATAGGGGCCTTACTAATTAGAATACGGTTCGGGGCCCATTATACTACAATTATGATAAGGAATCGCCCAAAATAGTAGGTATTTGTTATAAGGCACCTATATCATTCCCAACATGTGCATGCAGGTGATGAATCGTTACCGTTGCAAACCGGAAGCCTGTGCTCGTTGCCCCAACCCTACGAAGCCAGTGACCTCTGCAGTATATTACCGAGTGTAGGTGCCCCATAAGGCTTTAAGGCTACGATAAGGTTTAAAGAACAACAGCCCGACACCTATGTAACTGGGCTTCCGCGAGTTCATGTAAACCCAGACAGTTGGAACATCGTCATCCACATGCCCTGAAGTATAGGTCATCCAGCACTAATCATCCTTACTCCATGTTCCAGCTTTCTGGTGCTTACACTGTAGACATTATTCTGCACAGCGGCGTTGGCTTGAAGTTGCGTTTCCAATGCAGAGAGAAGAACCAAGGCCTCCACCAGAATGTGTTTTGCAGGTTGGGTTTAGGGTGTAGGGTTCAGGGTTTACAAGTGCAGGGTAGGGTATATATAGGGTAGACGGTTTAGGGTCTGGGGACCCGGAAATGATTGCAACAAAGGGCTGAACTGCTTCAGGCCTCTAAAGTTCGCGTTCTTTGGGGCTTTGGGCTTCGGGGGCGTGGTTCGGTCATGCTCTAATTCTACCAACTAAAGGGAACTCCGGAAAGTTGGAATATGGATTAATGGGAGGATCCCCTATAATTTACCTTGAAGGGGTTACGATAATGATATTCCAACTTTCTGGCTTCTACTGTAACCCAAAAAACTGACTGCCACGAGCAACGACCAACATTTACAGGTCTAGGCACGTGCAAGCCCACGGTAGTTTTTTGGAAGGAGTTCGAGTTTTGTATCTAGGGTTGTGTAAGGGCTCTCCAACTCAGGCATCTCTGGCTATAGGTGAGATGTAAAGCCACTATCAAGATACTTCTAGCACTAACTAATACCCGGTACTCGTGGCTACTCACGAACCTGCAAGCATGCATCACAGGGCCGTTGTGCTGTGCGGCCATGGTTCACAGCCTGCTTTCCCAAAGAGTCCTATGTACTGTTGTCGGGGGGGGGTGCTTACCGAAATCATGCTAGTAGCTCCGAATTGAAGGTAGAAACTCTATATAGCTTCTATACTATGAATAGGTGCATAGGACTCTTGGGTTTGGCAGAAAAGGGAATCATGGCTTCGCTGCGGATCTCCCCAGTCCGATCGACCATCTTCTCGGCTACACGAGCTGGGTCGTCCGGTCCGGATCGAGGAAATCCGTGGCCCATCGCAGGGCCGACATCATACTTGGCATTTAGGGTACTTATGACTCTACTTATAACCTACTTACTAAGTATTCTGGGCCCCCAAGTAAATCAAGCAAAGTGGCCTCATAGGAG